GGAGGTGGGGGATCGGCGGGTGGCCAAGACGGTGGTGCCACAAGATGGTCCGGTGGGTGAAAGTCCGACACGAGCAAGACGCAGCAACCTGACAAGTCGCGACAACCGGAGGGGACGCAGCAACCAGACTGGACTCGACAACTGGCGGAGGCGCAGGAACCTGGGAGGACGCAGCGACCTGCGCGGACGTGGAAACCGGAGAGTGCTCGGTGTGGAGGACGTAGAGACCAGAGCGCGGCTCCCTGGTGAACGTGGCCAAAACTGTGCCAGCGACAGCGTCCGTAGAGACTGCAGTCCGCCCACCCCCCACAAAGGTAACGGTGATCCCCCTGTCCTGGAGGTATCCAACACCCACCAAGTTCCGAGTGAACGAGGGGATGTGGAGGCCGCGCAGGATACTAAAGGGGACAACAGGGCACGGGAGGGTGGTAGAGCTGCGTGCTACGGCTGGTCCTGAGGAAGGATCAGCCAGGGCTAACGGTACAGGAGCAAGGAGCGGTGTGAGTGTCGTGTGGTCGCGGAAGAAACACTGCGACGCGCCAGAGTCTAGCCTGTGGAGTACCCGGTATGGAAGCTACGCAAGCACCTAGAGCAGAAGAACAAACACCTAGACTAGAGAGGCACAAGTCCACGCTAGCAGGAGGCAAGCAAGGTAATCTACAAACACCCGAGCACACAAATCCATCAGCACTATAGTCAACATCAGAATACAAAGCTTACTGACGAGCATCATCCATAGACAACTCAAAGACTGGAATCATATGGGCTAACAGGCGAGCCCAGCGCGGACTGGTCACCTCAGGGCCCCAACGGGCACGGTAGAGGTTGTCGAGGCGGCGGAAGCATTGCGCGGCAGAGTGGTCGTCGCGGCCGCAAACATAGGGGCTGCCCAGTCCGGTGAGGCACCAGTGGTTACAGGGGCCAGTATCATGGCGAGGGGGGCGAGGGGCCCAGTTGGAATTGCTGCTACTGCGGCCGGTGCTCCCTGGTCCTCCCGGACCCCACTACGGCGGGGGGCCCCAGTGCTGCTGCGGACCCCACTGCAGTGGGGGCCCCCAAGGCTGGAACTGCTGCGGTGACTGCTGCTACTGCTGTCCTTGCTTCTGCTGCTGTCTTTGCTGTGGCTGTTGCTGCTGAGGTCCGACACCCCCGCCGGTCTGAACTCCGCCAGGAGGCGGGCCTGTCTGTCTTGCACCTCCTCCAAGGCTCCCTCCTCCCGGTGCACCACTGCCGCCACCGCCACCACCACCACCTCTCCCAGCCCCATCGCCACCACCACCACCGCTCCCAGCCCCACCGCCACCTCCACCGCCTCCTCCACCTCCCTTCTCGCCCTTCTTGCCCCCCTTGCCCCGTTTCTGCCAGTCAGCGGTAGAGATGGCAGCAGTGTCCTCAGAAACCGGCACAGCAGCAGAAGCGCGGGTAGTAGTGAAAGTGGGAAGCTGAGGGGCGGCTGACCCCGCAAAAAGACGGAGGGGCACTGCTTCAGTGGCCGAGGCAACGGAGATGAGGTTACTCTTAATCTTCCCAAGAGAGGTCTCAAGGAGATCGATAGTAAGCTCAGTGGGATGCTTCTAGAGAAGCACGTCGTGAGCAGTAGCGAGGCGGTCAGGGAGGCGTGTGACTAACCAGTGCGCAGTGAGCCACATGGGGGGGGGGGAGCAACAAGAAGCTGGGCATCAGTGCAGGCCGCACGGAAGCCGGCGTCAAGCAAACGCATGTGAGTCACGAGGTCGGACACAGTCGCAAACGAGCCAAGGTCGGGAAACCCGAACAGCATGAGGAGGTGAACGAGGGAGGCAGAGGAAGGGGTTGAATAACACACAACAACAGCATCCCAAATCCCTTGCGCAGTCTCCACCTGGGAAAAGTGGACGGCCTCAGTCGGTGGGAGGAGCTCCGTCAGCCCAAGAGTAGTGGCAGTGTCGCGAGAGTCCCACACGTCCCTCACCAAGACATGACGGCCGTAGTCCGTCTGCTCCGCAGGATTCGGCGCCGGGTCGGCCGGGAGGGGGTCGGGAGACTGTCAACGGGAGTTGTGTGTTGGCCCCGTCCACGCTTGGGCGGAGCCGACTTCGTGGTGGGGTGTATGGAAGGTACAGCCGACTTGCAGCAGTGGGCGACGCCGACTTGGACGAGCTGGTCGACGGGGTTGGTCGACTTGCACGGCGCCACTGCAATACCGCCGACTTGGGAAGCCAGCGGCCGACTTCAACTGGTGGTCGGCAAGTGTGGCACGTCGACCTGGAAGTCGGCGCCGACTTGCAAGGTCAACGACTTGCAAGGTCACCGACTTGCAAGGTCACCGACTTTGCAAGTCGGCGCCGACTTGCAAGGTTGTCGACTTGGGAGGTCGACGAGCACATACAGGAGCAGCTGGTCGACATAGTTGCCCGGTCGACCAGGATACATGGGTGACGAGGTTCTGCGAAGGAGTGCGACGGTCACCCAGGCGAAGTTGGCGAGACCGACCTCCATGGTGGTATCCCGAGGTCGTCGTGGCGGATCAGAGGCAGTCGCTAGCCCGAGGTTGACGTGGTGTGTGCGCTGTGCAGGTGACGAGACTTTGCATGCCAATCATCTGCGCGCACCTGCAAAGCGGGTGCACTGCTGTCCTGCGTGAGCAATGCTGGCACACCGTCAACCTGCAGCGTTGGCAAGCTGTCGACTTTGCACTGCTGTAGCGTGGTCGACCAAGTCGTGCTGGAACGCAGTCGACCATGCTGTGCTAGCAGTCGACCAACTTGAATGCTAGCTCTGATGTAGTCTTGCATTGCCAACTTCATTGTACCATCATTGACAACTTTCTCTAGTAAAACTCTTGCCAAAATTGCCCCGTGAACTAGCAAGCAGTGTGAGCACTAGGAAAACGTCTAAGGACCAACGAACGCAGACATCACACGAGCACAGGTGCCTAGCCAAAACTCTAAGCTCCCGTTGTAGTAGTTATCTCCGCATGGTGCGGTGAGCGTGGACGGCACACGACTTACCCTTCCGTCAGGTCGACGTAGACACCACTTACCTATTTCGTAGTTACAGGCCGGCAACTGTGCGGTAGTCACTATGGTAGGAGTCGTAGGTGACGCGGGGGTGGTAGACACCCTGGAGGCACGGTTGGAGAACGCGAGGAGGAAGCACGAGGCCAACGAGTATGGCGACTTGCCCTGGGCGGTCGTTGAGGCTGGACTCCGCTCTACGTGGGCGACGGAGCACCCGTCTCGACCTGCCTCTCCTCGTCCGGTGAACAACGATGGCGGCGTCGACGTGGGCGTCAGCGCCGGTGGTGGTCAAGTCGGCAGCAGTGCTGGAGGCACGTCGAGGCAAAGAGGTGTGATACATGCCGGTGAAGTCGGCAGCGTTCAGGCGCGAGGGATGCAGACGTTGGCGGCTGCAGACTCTTCGCAGGGTGACGTCGGAGGCCGACGTAGTGGGCTGTCGCCGATGACGGCAACCCAGGTGACGGCAGGTGGGTTTGCGCCGAGCTACGGCTACTTCAAGTTCACGCCGGACAGGATCTCGGTCACCCCCCCACTGTTCGGTCGACCCGACATTCTCACCTGGAAGGAAGCTATCGAGCCCCAGCTGGAGATGGCTGGGCTGATCGGCTTCGCCCGAGGGACCGTGGTGACGCCTGGAGAACACCACCCCGACTTGCGGGCGGAGTTCCGCGCCGTGCAGCTTTTGACCTTCACGGTCATCTCGCGGTGCTGCTCGCCGGGCGTGCAGATCGCCTTAAAGTGGTGCCGGGAGTACATCGACGCCGGCCACCGGGCGTGGCACTTCATTGAGTCGACGTACCAGGTCACCGATGACCTGTTCATCGCCCAGCTGGAGGGACAGCTGACGCACCTGCGTATGGGTGACGAGGAGACAGCGACTGACTGCTGCAACCGAGCCCGGCGAATTCTCGCCACTATCAGGATGGCCGGCGCGCAGTACTCCACGGCGCCTTGAGGGCACCAAACGCGTGGGCTTATAGGGTGGCGCCATACTGACGCTGACTGGTGAGGTAGCGCGTGGCCTGGCGCTGCCAGGTACTGAACTCGATCGGGCGTGCCTCCGCATTGAAACGAAGGCGGCGAGACTCCATACTGGAGGCTAGGCTAGAGGCGTCTGGAGCACGGAGGAGTCGAAGCTAGGAACGAGGAGGGAAATCGAGGAGCGCCAGGTGTGGCGAGGCAAAAAGAGCGGCGGAGCTAGTGGCTAGGAGCACGGAGTGACCTTAGCTAGGCGTGAAACGGCGAGGAACTCCAGATATGAGCGCTAGAGGCGAGGAGCTAGTGGCTACACGACTCTAACCTAGGCGGCCGGCGAGTGAAGCGGCTGCCAGCCACTGAACTAGAGACCAATGGCAGTAGGAATGGTAGGGCCCAGCGAACAGGGTGGTGGTGGGGAAAGGGTCGAGTGCCAAGTGCGGGTGGGTGCGCTGTCAGAACATTATAGCTTATACATTTGTGTAGGCTGTAGTGGGGTAGCCCATAAGGGGTACAACCCAATTAGGGTTAGTACTTGTACCCAACTGTTTCATAGTTCATTCATCCATTCTCATTTCTCGTCATGGTATCGAGCAGGTTCCCGAGTGGGAATGCTGCCTAGGGCCCACCACGATTTTTTTTCCCTGCCCGTAGCGCGCTTCGCTCCTACCCGAGTAGCGCTTCGAACCGAATTCAGTGGCCCCCCTTTGGCCGCCCTTACGGCCCCTCGCACCGCCCTTACGGCCCCTGACGGCCCCGTCTGGCCCCTTACGGCCCCGCTTAGGCCCCTTACGGCCCCGTCGCGGCTTCGCCTAGGCCCCTCCGCGGCCCCGTCTGGCCTCTTACGGCCCCGCCTAGGCCCCTCCGCGGCCCCGTCGTGCCCCTTACGGCCCCTTCGCAGCCTCACCTAGGCCCCTCCGCGGCCCCGTCTGGCCCCTTTAGGCCCCTTGCGGCCCCGCCTAGGCCCCTCTGCGGCCCCGTCTGGCCCCGCTACGGCCCCGTCTGGCCCCCCCCTTAACGGCCCCGCTACGGCCCCGTCAGGCCCCTCTGCGGCCCCGTCGCCACCTGCGGCCCCGTCGCCACCTGCGGCCCCGTCGCCACCTGCAGCATCGTCGCCACCTGCGGCCCCCTCGCCACCTGCGGCCCCGTCGCCACCTCCACCTGCGGCCCCGCCGCCACCTGCGGCCCCGCCGCCACCTGCGGCCCCGCCGCCACCTGCGGCTCCGCCACCACCTGCGGCCCCGTCGCCACCTGCGGCCCCGCCGCCACCTGCGGCCCCGCCGCCACCCGCGGCCCCGTCGCCCTACCCTAGCGACCGAGCAGCACAGCAGCCGAGCCGCCCAGCAGCCGAGCCGCCCAACAGCCGAGCCGCCCTGCCGCCGAGCCGCCCAGCAGCCGAGCCGCCCTGCCGCCGAGCCGCCCAGCAGCCGAGCCGCCCTGCAACCGAGCCGCCCTCCCGCCGAGCCGCCGAGCCGCCATACTGTCTAGCAGCTGCTGTCCCTACCGGTGATCCCCGGCCCCTCCTTCCTCGGACTGGTGAGCTCACTTCCTCCTAGGCCACTGTAGTCATGGCTACCCCTAGTGTCCTCACTTTTGATGCTGAGGGCCGTGCCGTTGACTTTGAGTTCTGGGTCGATGACCTCCAGCTGTTTCTTCAGTGCGATAGGACGGACGACCTCTCTCTGTTTGACCTCACTTCTGGTGCCTCTCCTGCCCCTGCTGCTGATGGTGACGCCACTGTTCGCTCACAGTGGGCCACGCGCCATGCTGCTGCTCGCCTTGCTATGCGCCGCCACTTACCAACCACTGAGCGTGCACACTTTAGCCAGTACAAGAGTGCTCAGACCTTGTACGGCGCTGTAGTTGCACGCTACTCTTCCCCTGCCACTGCTGCACTGAGCCGCCTCATGCTACCGTATCTCTTCCCTGACCTTGCTGCCTTTCCCACAGTCGCTGACCTCATTACGCACCTCCGCACTAGTGACACTCGCTACCGTGCTGCGCTTCCTACTGAGTTCTGCGCCAAGAACCCCCCCCCCCCCCCCCCCCCCCCCATGTACATCACCCTCTACTACATAGTCACCCGCCTCCCTGACTCTCTTCGCGTAGTCAGGGACCACTTCCTCTCAGTCTGCCCCACCACTCTCACCGTTGACCTCCTCGAGAAGGCCCTCCTAGCGATAGAGAAGAGCATAGTTGCTGTAGGAGCCTCTCGTGGTGACCCTCGCACCACCGTCTTCGAGGGGTGTTCTCCCTCCCCCCTCTTGCCCTCTGTTGCCTTTGCTGCTGCGGCCGACCTCGTTGGTTTCGAGTCGGTCGGCGCTGCGTCTGCCCCGAGCGGGAGACGCCGCACCGGCAAGGGCAAGGGGGGCAAGGGCGCTAGAGGGGCTGGAGGGGGCGGTGGAGGTGGTGGTGGAGGCAGTGGAGGGAGTGGGGGTGGTGGTGGGAGTGGTGCCGGGGGTGGCGGCGGCGGCGGCAGCAATGGAGGCGGCGGAGGCGGTGGAGGTGGCGGAGGGAGCGGAGGCGGCGGAGGTAGCGGAGGAGGCGGAGGTGGAGGAGGCGGCGGAGTCGGCGGTGGTGGAGCGGGTCGCGACCCTGCGCAGAGGAGTGGCGCCGGTGGTGTTCAGCGCCAGCAGCAGGGGAGTGGTGCGACCCTGTCCTCTCAGCAGCTTCGGGAGTGGTACGCTGCGCGTCAGCGCGGTGGGGATTTTGGTCCTTGCGCGTACGTCCTTCGTATCGGCGACCGAGCTGGTGAGCAGTGCGGAGGCCCGCACTCCACCCAACGCTGATTTGGTGGCCTGGCGGGCGCGTGGCTTCGCCAGTTCCCTGAGGCGTCAGAGATCCCTCGCTGGGGAGATCTGTCTAAGGCCAGGGTTGCCATCTTTGATCTTGACTTTGATGCTATTCTTGCTGCCATGTATGCTGTTCATACTAGTGTTGCTGGTGACTTTTACCTGTGTGTACCGCCTGACCCGGGCATTGAGGCTACTGCTCTATGTACTGGTGAGGCTGCTGCTCTAGGTGCTAGTGCGTCTGCTGCCCCAGGTGCCAGTGCGTCTGCTGCCCCAGGTGCTGGTGAGTCTGCTCTCTCAGGGACTACGTCGGCTCAGGCCTTCCACACCTTCACTCTAGACTCGGGTGCGTCCCGCTCCTTCTTTCGAGACCGCACCACTCTTACGCCGCTCAGTTGGCCAGTTGCAGTCTCCCTGGCAGACCCCTCTGGGGGTCCTGTCCTTGCTAGCTTCTCCACTGTCCTACCGTGCCCGGCAGCCCCCTCTGGCACCCTGTCTGGTCTCTACCTCCCCTCGTTCTCTACGAACTTGGTGAGTGGAGTGGACCTACAGGATAGGGGGGGTTGACCAGTTCACTCCTGCGAGTCAACGAGTGACCCACTACACGTGTGCTCGGACAGGGCGACACTTGGCCACGTTCACCCGTCGGCCGTGGTCGAGCCTGTACACCCTTACTACTGAGTCTCCTGCTGCTGCTGAGTCTGCCCAGGTAGCTGCATCGAGTCACATGTTTGCTGCGGCGTCCAGGTCTGGTCCTGAGTCCGCCCCCTGCTCGTGTCGTCTGCTGTCCCACCAGACTCTCCTTTGGCCCCACCGCCTTGGTCACCCCTCCTTGCCTCGTCTCCGAGGCATGGCCTCCCGTGTCCTTGTCTCTGGTCCCCTCGGTCTCTCCCTTCCCTTCCTCCGGGGCCTGGCCCTACCTGCGTCCCCTGCGTCGAGGGGCGACAGCGCGCTGTCCCTCACTCCTCCGAGTTTCCTCCGACAGAGGCTCCCTTGCAGACTCTCCACATGGACGTGTGGGGCCCCGCCCACGTCAGTGGGCAGGGGCGAGAGCGGTACTTTCTGCTGGTGGTTGACAACTATTTGCATTACACCACAGTCTTCCCCTTGCGCAGCAAGGGTGACGTCACTGAGGTGTTGATCGACTGGATCCGCGCAGCTCGTCTCCAGCTCAGAGAGAGTTTTGGCTTGGACTTTCCTATTCTGCGTGTGCACTCTGACAAAGGTGGGGAGTTTTCCTCTGCCCGTCTTGGAGCCTTCTGTCGTGCACGAGGCATCCGCCAGACCTTCCACTTCCGGCCTCTCCACAACAAAATGGGATTGCTGAGCGCCGCATTGGCATGGTCATGGACGTCGCTCGTACGTCCATGATGCATGCGGCTGCCCCCCATTTTCTGTGGCCGTTTGCGGTTCAGTACGCCGCGCATCAGCTCAACCTTCAGCCCTGGGTCTCCTTGCCAGAGACCTCCCCCGCCTTGCGGTGGACAGGGAAGGTTGGCGATGCGTCTGCGTTTCGGGTCTGGGGATCTCGGGCGTTTGTCCGCGACTTGTCTGTGGACAAGCTGTCCCCCCGTACAGTTCCCTGCGTCTTCCTTGGCTTCCCCCCTGACACGCCTGGATGGCAGTTTTACCACCCCACCTCGCGCTGTGTTCTGTCCTCCCAGGACGTCACCTTTGACGAGTCCGTGCCTTACTAACGTCTCTTCCCCTACCGCACTGCGCCCCTCCCCCCGCCGCCGCTCTTCCTTGCGCGAGGTCCTCCCCTGGCAGACCCCCTCCCCCCTCAGGGCCCTGCCCGGTCAGGTGTGTCCTAGGTAGACGCAGTCAAGCCTCTCGAGGTAGCTGTTGACTCTGGTGCTGCTAGAGGTGCTGAGCCTACGGGTGCCGGGTCTGGGGGTGCTGAGTCTGGGGGTGCTGAGACTGTGGGTGCTGAGCCTGGGGGTGCTGGGTCTGGGGGTACTGAGCCTGGGGGTGCTGAGTCTGGAGGTGCTGCGCCTGGGGGTGCGGAGTCGGGGGGTGCTGGGTCTGCTCGTGTGGCCGCCGACGGTGCTTCGTCGAGGCGGGAGCCTCTCTCTCCACAGGAGCTGCGCGAGTGGTTTGCCCGCCGCTGGAGACGTGCTGCTGAGACCGGGGGTGCTGCTGGAGCTACTGGAGTTGGTGCTGCTGAAGCTGCTAGCGGTACTGGTGCTACTGGAGGTGGAGCTGCTGGGGGTGTTAGCGCTGGTTTTTCTACTGGTTCTGGTGCGTCTGGGGGTGCTGCTGAGGCTGCTGGTGCTGATGGTTCTACCGGAGTTGGTGCAACTAGAGCTGGAGCTGCTGGGGGTGTTGGCGCTGGCGGTGCTACTGGCGCTGGTGCTTCTGAGGGTGCTTGAGTTGGCGCTGTTGGAGCTGGAGGTGCTGCGGGCGCTGGTGCTGCCGCTTGGGCTACTGGCGCCGTCCTTGCTGGTTCTGGAGGCGCTGAGCAGCCGAGGCCGTACTTCGTTCCGCTCCTGGAGCAGGTTCTTGGTCTCCCGCCCTCTCCTGGTCCTGCTCCTCACTTAGAGTGTCCAAAGCCTGTCCAGTCGCAGTTACAGTTACACCCTGCCTCCCCGCTACCTGCTCCTTCTCCCTACACTGGTCCTACTGGAGGTCTTGCTGAGCGTCGTGAGCCTGCGTCTCGTCCTGCGTCGCCTGTTCGTGCTGCTCGCACTAGTCGTCGTGCTGCGTGTCCGCGTCCTCCTGCGGTCCCCGGCACACACCAGATGGCACTGCGTCCTTCCACTGCTCCTCTGCGTGTCCCGTTGCCGTCTCCTCCAGAGTCCTCTCTTCCTTCTCTTGCTAACCCGCAGTCTGACTCCCTTCGTGCTGCTAGTCCTTCGATCATGCGCCTTCTTGCTACTGTTGTCACTGACCCTTCCTTTGAGTCCAGTGCTGCGTCTACTCTAGTTGCTGAGCTTGTCGACTTCGCTGCTCGCTGTCGTCTAGACTACGCTGCAAGTCTCGTTGCTCAGTCTGAGTTTGTCTGTCCTCCGTCCGTCGGGGGTGAGTGTGCTCTTAGCACGGACGTCCTTGAGGACAGGCAGGAGGAGTTCCAGTGCTTTGCGGCTGCTTTGCCCCATCTCGTGTCCACGGTGATTGTCTCTCAGGGAGATCCGGATGCACCAAAAATCCCGACTCCTCGATCGTACGCTGAGGCGATCGAGGGTCCCTACTCCTCTCAGTGGCAGTCGGCCTTGTACGCAGAGATGGCTTCGTGGAAGTCCACAGGCACCTACGTCGACGAGGTTCCCCCACCTCGGGCGAACATCGTCAATGGCATGTGGATTTTCAGGGTGAAGCGGCCGCCGGGTTCTCCGCCTGTCTTCAAGGCGCGTTACGTGGCTCGTGGCTTCAGTCAGCGGCAGGGAGTTGACTACTTTCAGACCTTCTCTACCACCCCGAAGATGACCACTCTTCGGGTGCTGCTGCACATAGCCGCTCAGCGCGACTACGAGCTTCACTCTCTTGACTTCAGCACAGCTTTCTTGCAGGGCAGCCTGCACGAGGAGATCTGGCTGCGCCGCCCTCCTGGCTTCACTGGGTCGTTTCCTCCTAGTACCCAGTGGAGCCTCCGGCGGCCAGTCTACGGTCTCCGTCACGCGCCCCGTGAGTGGCACGACACACTAAGGACTACACTTGTGGCTCTTGGGTTTGCTCCTTCTACAGCTGACCCGTCGCTGTTTCTACGCACCGACACCTCTCTGCCGCCATTCTACATGCTCGTATACGTCGACAACTTGGTCTTTGCCACTGCTGACACTGCTGGACCAGCCCACGTGAAGTCCGAGCTGCAGAAGAGACACACGTACACAGACCTGGGTGAGCTGCGCAGCTACCTTGGCTTGCAGATCACCTGGGACAGAGCACAGCGCATCATTATCCTCACCCAGTCACACATGGTGCAGCAGGTCCTTCAGCGCTCCGGCTTCACGTACTCCTCGCCTCAGGCCACTCCTCTGTCTACTCGCCACTCGCTCTCAGCTCTGCCTTCGGATGAGTCCGTAGAGTCGAGTGGCCCGTACCCAGAGCTTGTTGGCTGCCTCATGTACCTGATGACCTGCACACGACCTGACCTTGCATACCCTCTTAGCATCTTGGCACGCTATGTTGCTCCTGGGAGATACCGACCAGAGCACATGGCTGCAGTGAAGAG